TTTGCGTTCTAGCGTCTCCTTATCAGCCCTTATCAGTCGTTATCACTTTCTGACCCCCACCAAATATGTTCCCGTCCCACCCCCTATATCATATCTTGAAATCAACTCCTGACGACTGCTGGTGCCCGAGCTATGAATTTCGCGACACTTGCGTTCTAGCGCCTTTTATCAGCCCTTATCAGTTGTTATCACTTTCTGTACCCCACCAAATATGTTCCCGTCCCACCCCCTATATCATATCTTGAAACCAACTCCTGACGACCACTGGTGCGAGCTATGAATTTCCGGCCGGTCAAACACACACACACATACATACATGCACACAGACACACCACCAGACACACTTAGTCGGTTATACATTTAAAGTATGTGGACACCTCACAATTCACGTTAAAAAGGTAACTAAGAGGCTTCGTGCTATGCAACCCTCCTCAATCGATTCCTCGTAGTCGATAACTATCAGAGTTTAGCAGATAATATCGCCTTGCTTTAGTAAAAAAAATTTGATTGAATTTTTTCTTTGTTTCAAAAGTATGTGGACACTTAACAAAAGACAAAAACATAGCTGAGATTAGAAATCAGTGGGGCCTCCAGAGTTTCTAATTAGCTCAAACATCCTGTCCGGCATAATCTGAACCACGTTTGCCATAGCTGTTTCGTCGCTGTCGGCCCAAATAGCCTCTACCGCCGCCTTCAGTTCATCCGCGGTTTGTACTGCCGGTAGTCAAAGTAAACTCCTTTTCAAGCTCTGAAGAAGGCGAAGAAAGCCGAAACGTCAGCCTTGTTAATTACTACAATCTTGGAGAGGCTTCAATAAATAATAAAGCTGACTCTTCAATGCCAAGATTAGAAGAAAGTCGATTAGATTTGGACTAAACACCTTGATCAAGGGTTTACCTATAGGGCAATCTATCGCTTCAGCACCATTTCGTTTGAGCCACTCTTTGGTAGATTGCGAAGCATTGACAGACGCGTGGTCCTGTTGCTAAAATGCAATTTTCGCTGCGCTTCGCTAAGAAAAGGCAACAGGTGACATTGGAGCACTGCTTGGTATTCTTTACTGTTCATACGCAATAATGGAACGGCAACTTCCAATTTCCGCTGATTGCGAAACCGCCGCAGACCCATCAACGGGCCTTCTCCGAAATTCCTTCTCGAGAGCACGAGCGACTCACGGCCAAGCCTCTCCAGCAGTAGCAAAATCCACCCGGCCCGTCAAGATCGAACTCTTTCCATGAGTTAAGATTACCTGAGGAGAAAAAGTCCATAAAAAGTTGCTTGTTTTGAAAATAGGAAATTCTCGAAAAACCGTGTCTTATCCCGGTGTCCTATCCTATGTTGCCATGTTTTACGAGCAGACTCCAATGTTGCTAACTTGTGCTGAGCCTTGAAGTGAGTAGCCTTTCTCAGCGTCTGTCGAGTGGTGTATTCATTTGAGCGGATGAGGGGCTTAGTGGTCATTTTCGAGGCTGGAATAAAAATCTGAGCTCGGACTGTCAATGAAGAATTCGACAGGATGTGGGCTACTCTTTTGTTGTTCTGAGCAGTCAAGGATCGTGGATGGAGCGGAGTGTGTGCTGAGTATAATTATCAGGGTGCCGGATAAATCTTCGAATGCATTAAGGAGAACGACCAAGTTGTCGTGTAATTTCTCGATTGGAACGTCCAGTATCATGCAGAGCCCTGATATAAAATAGGCATGATGACGAAATGAAAACAGCAAATTCGGATCGAAACCGGTGGAAATTGCGGCGCCAAAATCTGGTCTCCTTCAAGTGTCCACATACTTGAAAGAAAGAAGAAAATTCCACATTCAAACGAGGAATCGAGGGTGGGGAGGGTTGCATAGCACGAAGCCTCTTAGTTACCCATTTAACGTGAATTGTGAGGTGTCCACATATTTTTAAAACGCTCTGCATATAGTAGGATATTGAAGACACGTAACATATCATGTGCTGGGTTCCATGTGATTAATTATAATACGATATGAAGTGGTAAGTGTTCATCGCAGGCTCCGATGGGGCAACTTTTTTCTATTTGGGAGGGCTTTTCTGAAATGTCATCGTCTATAGGCTAAATTATGCGACTACATGACTCGGTTTCAGTGTCCAGAAAGATGCAATCCCTATGAGTACTTGTGTGTACCTCAACCTTGTGCCACTTTTTGCAGTATGCGCATCCCCGATGCTGTTGCTCAGTCTGGCATTGGACAGACTGCTATCACTGATGAAGGTTTAGTGAGTTTTTTTTCCTTCAAGCTACGAAAAACAACCGCGGAAAAGGACACGTGGTCTAAAAGGATGTCAGATTTATATTTGTGTGATGGCAATAATTGGTCATTTGGTTCTGCATTTTCGTACATTTAACGTTGCGCAATACAGGGTGGAATATTGCACGTGCAGTGAAGTATTCGTTTTCACTTTTTCAAACGTAATTTCCTCAAAACTCAAGCTTTCGCAGTAAAACTTCGACAGCAGGTGACACACAGGTAGTAATATTATAGCAGTGTATCGGTGCAGTAGCCTCCTTTCAAGGGGAAATGGAGCTTCATTTTCGAGTATTGTCCGCGGGCACCCAATTTCATTGTTGATAAACGATGAGTTTCCATGTTGAGAGCACGTGTGTTTTTGATGTTTTGTGTCAGTTTCATATGCCTACACAGTACTCAGAACATTCCCAAGACATTCGGGAATTCTTAGCTTGTGGCAGGACCAGGTGACGCCATCTTTCGGAGCTTCTACAAAGGCTTAACATCCTAGCAGATTTTCGAAGTTCAAGGAGCGCCAGTGGACGACTTGGAAGAAATTCAAGAGCATCGAACCTGCCAAAGTCAAAAAGTGCCCAGAAGCAGCAAAAATGACCTCTCCTCTCGCCAACATTGTGCGACTTGCAAGGAGTGGCTCACATCACGCTGCACCCGAAATTCACCGCGGATTCTCAACGCCAGACGGTCTAAATCCGTCCGAAGACAACGTGCGACGTTGTCTGAGAGATGCTGGGCACTTCTGACGTAGCTCAGTAAGAAACCGCTGATTCCCCCTCAAGAGTGGCAAGCGCATCTCAATTAGGCTCATGCCCACAAGAAATGGGCTATTAAGCAGTGACAAAAAGCCATCTAGAGCAACGAATCGAAGTTTTTGCTGTTTAGGACGAATGAAATCAAGTTTGTGCGACTTCCTGTTGGATATCATCCGAGGTTCCATGTGCTGACGTGACGAATGCAGGGGGTGCGGTGATACTGCATGGCAGCTTCTGTGGCAAAGGGGTTGATCACCTTCATCGGACCGAGGGTGAAATGGATTCCAAAACGCACCTCAACATATGGATGACTGCTATCTGGCCGCATGCTCGCAGTGTCGCCCGTAGTGTTTCATTTTCCGACCCAAGCGCAAAATCAAAGCCGCTCTCGCAATGGTTCCGCAACAACAATGTTCCTCCACTGCCATGCCATCGCAGTCCCCATACTTGAATCAGAGCAAAAATCTGTAGGATGATTTTCGGAGTCAAGCTGAAGGCCCAAAAGCTCACAACGAGTTCGAAAAGTCCGTCCCACTGAAGATCGCGTAGGGGAACCTCCACCAAGAAAAAACCCAATTCCGTGCTTACGCCGGTGTCAAGCCGTCATAGATGAAAACGGTTCTGCGACAAAGTGCTGATGTTGTAGTTGTTCAGTCTGTTATTATACAAGTTATTTTGTTATTATTTTTGAATTTTAGATAGATTGAAGTTCGAACAAGTAATATGGTATTGGACCAAAAAAATTAAAAATTTCTAAATTAGTATAGAAGCCACCTAGACAACTGAAAATTTGCTCCCTTATCACATATAGTGATGTGTTCTCACCTACAAAAAATCGGAACAAAAGCTTGAGTTTTGAGGGAGTTACGTTTAAAAAAGTGAAAACGAATACTTCATTGCACGGTACGTAATTAACCATAAGATTCATATAACAATTGTTAGCTATTTTGAGCGTTTCCGTATTGATACCTGCTTCTTTGATCGCACTAGAAACATTTGTGTAGCTTTGTGGAAATCCCCACTCTGAAATCTAACTCGTGAGATTTATAGAGATTTATTATATAAGTCAGTAAACATTCTACTTTTAATATAGATGCTATTTCATTTAGTCGAGCTTTGATCGGTTTATACTCAAGGGTCTATATATGGGCTCAGGTTCTACCTGCATGTGTCCTGGGCTTTGCCATGGACATAGTAGTACTCATTTATCAGAGGACGGATGAGTAAGTCATTCTTCATTCCTTATAGCTGACACATGAGGACGTGTCTCTTTTCAGTGCCAGAAATATCGATAATTCCTCCACAAGACTTTCTGATTATCTCATATTTTTTTCCATTTTGCAGGAAAGTTATGTGCTTATTGTTCTCAACAATGCGAGGCAAAATTGTTGAGGTCTACATAAAATGGGCCATGGTTGTTAGCGCCCTGATTATTTCGTGCTATGGTTGCTTTATCATATTTCTGAAGAGGATTCTCATAAGTGAGTTTTGGCAAGATGCTACACTTCTTCGCCCCCTTCCATTCTCATTAGTAACCTTTTAAGCTCGTTTAAAACTTTTTTCGCCTTCCATTCGAAGCTTTATACCCGAAAGAATCAGCTCACGAGTTCAGGAATTTCAGGCGGCGGGATTGTGAAGAGCATTTATCGCTCTGTTATTGTTATAAGTCTATCGTTTATCTTCGGCTATTTCAGTTCAGTGGTAATAGTTTTTGTCAACACCGTGCTTTACCTAAATATTGACATAGTTTACTTGAACCAGTCTGCTGGGCTTTTCGTTTCTTTGGCAACGTCTGCCAATTTCTTCATTTACTACTGCATCAGGTTCGTGCTCAAAAGTATGTTTATCCACTTCTGAAGTACGTAACATTAAATAAATTTCTATGAAAATACACCGAGAGGACGTGTAGTTACTTCATCATTGAGGCTGAACCTTGATTCGACTCTTTTCGCACCGCGTGACAGTTATGGGCTGACATACAGTTTCTGATCTCTGTGGCCACGTGACAAACATGGAGCGCCACGTTAAACGAAACCTTTCGTTCTCGTGCACCTCCGAAATTTTTCTTCATGTGAAAAGGATGGACTTCCAATAACTGTCACAGTCGTTGGTCACAACTGTAACAATTAATGTAAGAAATTGGGGCACCATGCCAGTCCATGCTCCATTCGAGTTGCAACAGTTGCGCCGCTGCTGACAACAAACAACCAGCGCACCTTTCGTCAGAGCCACTCCTTTTCGGCAGTAGTGTTACATATACTTCCAGATGCGCTCCCTCTCCCTCAGTATCATTTCCTTTTACTAACCTTTTACTAACAGAAACGCGCGCCGTCCCACAGATAGTCTTCATTTCTCTTGATATTCATATTATAATACGGGTCGCCATTAAATCCTTAAACGATTTCTCTCCTTGATTAATGTGGACCCTGATTAAATTCACATACATGAGCGTTGAAGTGTTTACGTCGTGACGCAAAGGGAACTAATGACATCGCTCGACCGTTGCCATTTTTATAACTCGCAGCGTGACGTCCGCCCGCTTGCGACAAAGTGCTCTCTCACATTGCCCTCTACTCACAGCGCTGGGTACTGCACTGCTCGATAGCACTCGTGTGAGCCATTCAGACTTTCGCCGTAAGACACGAAACGTGACAGAAACGTAGATAGCACAAATCTCCATTATATTATAATTTCGGTAACGTTTTATGCGTAGAAATTACGCAATAGTAAAGCAACAAAATTTCAACCAGTAGGATGTGTAATAAAAACGATGAAGCAAAATGTATTGAATTTCTCTGCAGTAATGCAGTTTACTTTTTGGATTTCATAGCAAATTGGCAAATATGATTCCAAGAGATTTTGAAACAAAAACTTAGGACAACTTACGCTTTTGTGTTTACCTCTACTCATGAATATAAAAATCCGAAAAAAATCGCATCTGCACGGAAAAAAATTGGTTCCTATGTGCGTGATTTATGTGTTAGTCGCAGTGTCCTACGCAGTGTCCTAATTTGATTTGCGTGTGAAGCAATGTCGTTACGATGTCAGACACCTCCCTCATCTACATCTTTCCGTTGTTTCCTGGCGCCTTGACGCGTTAGTGCAAACTTCAATGCACCAAAAACATGTAAGAGTCACTTTCATGGCAGCACGATTATGAAAAACCTTCAGTGTGTCGCTTTTAAATCATGTGTTTCAGCAAAGAGTATCGTGGAGTTTTCGACAAATATCTCGGGATCGGCCACCTCAGAATGGCATTATCTCACAAGATGGATCGTACGAGTATTCATGTTGCACCCATAGCACTTCGTTCGATAAGTAAGAACGTTTTTAGTGGAAGGATCTAGATCCTCTCTGATTGGAGAAATGCGGGCTTCGCTCCCACGTCGATCACTAGTCATTATTGCGACTATCCATGTAGATAAATTTGTTCGAGAGTATCTCTGTATTATATGAGTCGATGGCAAGTGTATTGATTCAATATGACAGCTTTCTGCTACATGATGCCCCAAAATCCCAGCATCCCTTGGGGTACTACGTACGATAGCATGCACTCCTATTAAGCTATAAGAACGCTGGCAAAGAAACAATAACATCACAATCACATCTCAACTCTTGGTGGGCTTGTACCTTCCTGAAAAAAGATTCAATGGTCACAAGAGCATCTGTATGGCTGTGACTTTAACCTTGATTCCAAAGCTACCAAACCTCTCTGACCAACGAAATTATGGTTCTGTTGATATCGGAGTAAGCCTGTGACGACCGCAATTTCGTTTAGGAGGTAATGGTGCATCTTCTCCTTCGCTCTATTTGTCTCAAGGGACCAATAGGAAAATCTGTGATTCGACTACGCGTGTTTGAAGCGAGGAGTCATTCACCGGCTGAGTAATATTACTTCTACAGCCAAGACTCACATACGTACATGAGAGGTGGAACTGCTATAGCGGAAAGGAGAGTGTTTGTCTTTCCATCATGCTACTCGTCAACGACAAAGTCTCACCACCAAAAAAGGATGGACGATAGAGGGCCACGTGAATGGTGTGTCGACGAGCATAGTGGCCTATTTTCATGTAAAAAAACGTATTTGAAATGTGAATAAAAGTGGCCGAAAACCTGTAATGAAAATGGATAGCAGCTTCTCAAATAAATTCAAACAACAAGTGATCGACAAGAGATTCCAGAAAATATGGCAGACTTGATTGTGAAACGTGCCTTCGATATCGGTATGCAGAGTCACAGCTCAGCTACTCCATTGCTAATTCATCCAGAATGAGAAAGTGTGACTAAAGGAGAACAGGCAATAAATTCATTTACATCAGACATGGCTACAACAACAATTTACCAGTAGCAACGAGAGCACAAATCAATATGATCAATGGATTTGAGTAGCCGGTAGCGGTCCCATTACAGAGGTACGAATCGCAACAGCATGAAGCACCACCGTTTACCGAATACGTGCAACCGTCATACTGAAATGTGATGGGATCGTCTGGGAAAGTTTCCACGCAAGGAATCTTAGCCACTAAAGAGAATATTATTGTGCATACTTTGTCCCGGAGGCCATTTTTTGCTCCATGTAATTAACTGCACCACCATCAGTCCTGTTATCTATTATATATCAGGTATCTCGGCGTTTACAAAAACTCTCTCGACTTTTGAAACACATTAGGAACAGAAACTTGGGTTGTGAAACAAAACTCCCGCCTCAGCGGGACTAGAACCCGCACCTCTCGCTTTCCGGGCAAGTGCGCTACCAGTTACGCTACCGGGGCACCATTTCATTCCAACTCAGCTTTTCATGGTATACGTACCATAGCTTTCAGCACTCACACGTCTAACGTGTTGAGCCGGTTAGCCGATATGGGCAGTGAATCGCATGGCTGAAAGCTATTAATTTTTTAGTTTTTTTCTTCGAAAATTTCATTGAAAATATCTTCTTTCTTCGAAAATTTCAAAAAATATATTATAAAAGAAAAAATAAAATAAAATTTATAAAAGTAAATAAAATAATCTGCTGAGGCTCTCAGCGATTTTTTATATAGAAGGTAAATGATTTTAGAGAAAAGCTGATGAGAGACGCCGTCGAGGAGCGCGGTGTCTCACATCAATGGCGCCAGTTGTGTGCCGAAAGCTTGTCAATAAGGGCCCTGATGTTGGACCTCCTTAACAATTATGCGCCCTGACCGCGCATTTTGTGCTACGTGTGTGGTACGCCCTCTGTAGGAAATGACACTACGAGATCCCTCTCGTTATCCTCCCTACTAGTTGGGCTAATCCCGGGGTTTGTCTTCAAACAGCTATTGCGTCTTCTGGTTATAGCGGTTGTTTTATACCTCTGGGGATGCTTTGCGCTGAGGAAGGGACAGAACGCTTCAGCAGGATTCTTGTACAATTACTTGAGGCATTCCCAAAAAACATTCATTTTGAACAGTTTGAGCGTGCTCCGAACCACACCACATCTGTGAATGAAGTCTTTTTGCTTCCACAAAATTGTGCGTTCACGTAACGGTGGAGGGCACTTCAAGGTACTCCTAGCTGGTTCTGAAACAAATTCAAGAGCCGTAAGGAAACAATTACTAGAAACGTGACACCAAAAAACCGTGAGATGTTGAATGTAGACGTGCCTAGCTTTTTAACACATTGATGACAACGCGGATAGTACCAAGATCCCGCCGCATTGCAGCCATGTCGCGACGTGTCGCGGAACATATGTCCCGATTCCCATTACACTCATAGTTTTGGCGCAGCTGATTCTTTAGAAGTTTCTTGTATTCATTCCATGGAAGAGACCTTGACGTAGCTACAAACATAGTGGCCCATAGAATGGTCACGTATGCTTTAATTTAGAGGAGGATTTCTGAACCATACGAAATCTTCAGTTTAATAAATTTTTCGTTTACTTTTTCTTTTTATGAATGTGAAGATTTAAATAGTAGTAGAAGTAGATACGGAACCTTAGAGATGACAATATATGTGTTTGATTAAAATAATCAACGTAAAATTGCTTTTGAGGTCCATTGCAGCTAGTTCTGACCAATTTCGCTTTTTCATTGTTATTCCATGTCTTTCGATCGAAATTCCACTACTGTACCCCTGGGTAGGTTGTGCTCATTACAATTTACTGATCTGGTTTTGTATTGATCATTATTTATGTATTTATCACTCAAAATTTGCTTGAACGACCTGAGGCGGCCGCGCCCGCAAAATCGCCCCGGTCCCACGTGGGCAAAAAAGCCAAAACTCGCATTGTCGTCAATGTGTTAAAGCTTTTCAGGCTTTGGGTAATCGCAGGACGGAGTTTATAGGTCAGCCCATAAGAAATCAAGGTAGAAGTGGTCAGTGGTGCAAGGCTGAAGAAGGTAAACCATGAAAACGCGCTCTATTCTCACAATCCACCGGCTGCTCTCTCATCCGCAACGCGCTCGCTGTACAAGCCTAAGTCAAGAGGCGAGAGGTAGCGCCAGCCGCGCGTATCAAGCGCGCTGTATGCCCTCGCAAGCGCTGAGCATCCCTCTTGGATACAAGCGTCATCGTCGCGCTCCCTCAGGAACTCGCCTGGCTTCGTGAATAATGCATTACCATTCTTCACTTTCGACCTTGTCTGGAATCCTTTTCAATTGTGTGGTCTCATTTTTGCTCCCCCCCCCCAGTACCCAGAATTACTGTTACTATTGTTGCATTTCGGACAATTATGGTTCTGGATGATGAAGTTACGAATGTCTATCGAAGAGATCCGAGTAGAAGTCGTGGATGACTTTCTCCATTGCCCTTCGGGATGCAGTGACTGTTCCATCCGGACGTCGGAGGCAGGTCATCTTGGTCTTGTAGCTGGCAAAGCTTCGGCGGGCATTGCGGATGCTCCTCCCAGCCTCTGCTGCTTCAGCTAATACTGCTGCTCTTCGCTCCTTGAGATCTTCCTTTATCGCCTCTCTGCATAGCTTCGCAAGCTCGGACGTGAGTCGGTGATTGCCTGCAGCTCGTGCGGCTCCACGCTGGCGGTGGATGCCGTACTTTGCTGAATCCGGTTTGTTTATGGGATGCAGTTTGATCGTGTTTGCTAACCGTCGCGCTTTGATTGAAATAAACATATACGCGATTCAGCGGATTAAAATTGTCCAGCTTGACAAACAGTGCCTTTGAAGGAGCAACAGGAAAAGGTTTTGGGCGAATAGTGAAATACCTACAGCACTCCAAGATGCTTTCGGCGCTTGAGCAAATTATTGTAATAGTACTGCGGGAGAAAGGCGGTTTTCAAGTTTGCGCTTTTATAGTCTCAAAGAATCAAATAGGGCAATTAACATCGGACAGATAAGCACTGAGCCCACTTTGGTGAAACTCAAGTCTATTATAAGCGAAGTGCTATCGCGTAAGTGCTGATAAGCGCCTGGGTGTGACCAGAAACGAAGAATCAGCATGATGATTTTGATCATTCTCATGCTTTTTTATGTTCCCCTCCATATTTTAAATTGCTACCACGCACTGCTAAGCTTGTGCAGCATCCCTTCACGACTAGGGTCGTGCTAGTTGAAGGCATGACCCAGGGTCAAAGTGGTGGGGTTGATACACGCGAATATGAAAGTTTCGGTGCGAAATTTTCCGGCAGTAAAGAAAAAAATACCTAGAGAATCTGTCAAAAACGTGCAATCAAAGGCAAGCCGCGGGAAAAAAACTGGTAATAAGCAGGGTCAACCGTTACGTTGGACCGATATTGGAGCGACGTTGGACCGATGTTGACCGCTCTCCGCGCCGGCATTCACTCTCGCCACCCGCGAGCCGTCTGTGTCTCCGTGCGTACGTTCACTCTCGGCATTACTCTCACACGCTCGTCATGCGTTGGACTTTGTCCAACGGACGGTTGACCCTGGTGATAAGGGCGCTTCGTAGTGATGACTGAGCTGCGGAACGACCTGAAAGTGGAAAGGAAAGCAAGCGGGAACGCTGAAATTAAGGCCTTAACCTTCAAAGGTCGGATGTGGTACGATGGCGAGACAGGGCGATCAAAGAAGACAAAACACGCGAAAGATCACGCCGTTCGAGAGAGCACGCTGATCTTAACATTGATGGGTGGGTGGGAAGCGTTGCAATGACGGTTGTTGCACGCTCGTAAGGATTAGCGCTCTAACCACGCAATTTTTGGGTAGGTAGGAACCTTATAAGTTCCCCAGCGAGATCCTTCCCACAAGTTGGGGCTAATTCCGGGGTTAGCCTTTAAGAGCTTAGCTCACCCTGGCAAGGCGGTTGCGCTGAGGCAATGAGGGCGGGTGCGGAGAGTTGAGGCGAGAAAGTGTAACATTTGAGAGGGCGCTAGACAAGCCTGCTACGGACATGCGGGGGGGGGGGGGAACAT